TCAGCAGGATGTGAACTTGATCGTTACAGTTATGCCAGCTTGACTGTCCAATTCTCTACATCTCTGAGTTGTGGAGGGTGAAATAGTGCACAGTGACCATCTGTCAAATTTGCATACTCTTTTTGAATCAGTTTTGGATGTGAGAACATAGGTCTGTCCAAGCTGTTATCCTGATCCTTTTTAAGGCCCAGGCCTATTACAAAATTATGTTTAACGTGTGCACGTGTCTGTATTCATACATCATAGGTACAGGCCAGATATACAGAGATGCCTTAAAGAACAGATATTTTTAGATTTAAATGTGTTTTTCCTTCCTTGCTATTACTGGCCATCAAGAAATGTGAAAAATCTTGTCTTTTCCCTCTCTTTCAGTATATTGTTTCAACTCTAAACTACAAACCCTATTGTTAACGTAACTATTTTAACTGCATTTCAGATCATGTTTGAGACTTTCAATGTACCGGCCATGTACGTAGCTATTCAAGCAGTTCTGTCCCTCTACGCTTCTGGACGTACCACAGGTAGGCCTCTGGGAAAGGTGGCACAGGCATTCTAAGTAGTTAAGTATGTTCATGTGCATCTGAGAATGAATGATTTGTGTTATCTTCTCAAAGGGATTGTGCTCGACTCTGGGGATGGTGTCACCCACAATGTGCCAATTTACGAAGGCTATGCCTTGCCGCATGCCATCATGCGTCTGGATCTGGCAGGCCGTGATCTGACAGACTACCTCATGAAAATCCTGACAGAACGTGGCTATTCCTTTGTGACCACTGGTAAGGACATAGGGCAAATCGAGGAGGAGCATTATTTAATGTGTAATGCTTCTAACGGCCTTAGAAGTAGTGGTAGTTCTACAGTTGCTTAGAAAAAAGAAGGAATCCAACAGGAAAGTTGTACTTGCCCTGCAAATCTTGCAGAGGATTTCTTTTAAAAAATGGGGAGGGTGCTGGAGAATGAAAGGGAACAACCTGTATCAAAATGTCTGGGTCCTCGCTGAATGCCATTCTAAAGACTGAATCCTCTCAACAGCGGAGCGTGAAATTGTCCGTGACATCAAGGAAAAGCTGTGTTACGTGGCCCTGGACTTTGAAAATGAGATGGCCACTGCTGCCTCGTCCTCCTCTCTGGAAAAAAGCTATGAGCTTCCTGATGGTCAGGTGATCACTATTGGAAATGAACGCTTCCGCTGCCCAGAGACCCTCTTCCAGCCGTCTTTCATTGGTAGGTTGAATGATTATTCTGCCTTGGTAAATTGCTCATAAATATCACATCTCTCGTTCCTTTTGATTCCTTCCCATTACTAGCTCACTTAGACTTACACGAGTATGTCCTACGGCCCATTGCAAAATAATATTTTAGAACAGCACTATTAATATGGTGGAAGGAACTTCATGTCAAACAGTAAGGCAAAATGCTTTCCCAAAATAAAACCTAAATGTTTATTCCTTGCTTCCGGCTTTGGGCCCACACCATTTTGTATGTTATGTAGTCAGCTACCCTGAGAAATATGGCTGCAGAGCCACTTTTCTAAACAGTGGGAGGATTGTAGTTCGAATGTGCTTGCAGGGGGTGGGGGAGCACTACTTTTATTCTTCCAAAAGACTGCTCTGAATCTCAAATCCATGGTGCTTCACATTTGCAAAGCAAAGTCAACTTAATGCCATGCTAATCAACTGCCTTGAAGGCAGGCTTGCAATGAGGTCACATAGGAATCCAGTGTAGGTTCTGCCAATGGGCAGAATTTCAGCTCAGAAATAGATAAAGTAGTTGCATACTTAGAGGTATTAGGACATATTTTGACTGTTTTGTCTCTGAGCTGGTTCAATTAAAAAAAAAAAAATAAAGAAAAAAATTGATTCCAGAACCATATAAGGAATTCTTAGGCCATCTGAGGTTGTCTGCAAGAGCCTAGTGGACTCTACTATTCCACCCCCTTCCCCCAGCTTTCTTTTTAGAGAGGAGTTATGTGTGCCAGGAGGGGAGGAGGACTGTACCCCAGGGAACTCCTAAGTAAATAACTTAGGCAGTTGCGGAATGACTTTTCAGTTTTCCACAGCAGCTGAAGACTGGCATCTTCTAAAGGGACCCTTTACTTCATGTTGTTGGCTCTGTGTTAACAATTTTAAGTCTCTGTATGGAGTTGCTTCCTAAGTGTTCTGCTCTAACTTGCCCAGGCATGGAGTCTGCTGGCATTCATGAAACTACTTACAACAGCATCATGAAGTGCGACATAGATATCAGAAAGGATCTTTATGCCAACAATGTGCTGTCTGGAGGCACTACAATGTACCCAGGCATTGCTGACCGGATGCAGAAGGAAATAACTGCTCTTGCTCCCAGCACTATGAAGATCAAGGTACAGTGCAATTATTTGTAGACTGTCTGAGTTGGCATGTACGAAGTTGTCAAAAATCTAATGAAAAATGGCAACACTCATCAAATTGCTTTGTAGATATTTTTAATCAGTGGTATATGTTCTTGCAAATAATCACCCCAGGTAACTTTGTTGCTAGTAAGAGACAGGCTTCTCTCTTTTCATTTCCTTATTCATGCTGAATTCTGCAAAACTGCCCTAATGAGGACCAAGGACAGTGTGGAATCAGAAGCATAAACTTTCCTCTGGGGCTTCAGTAAGTTTCTTTAGCTCTTTTAGGCTGAAGTATGGAGATGAGAGAGAGAGGAAATGCTGATTTTGTCCTTGGTCTACAGGTTCATTGAAGAAAGAGCCGCTGTTAAGCTGGTCTTCTTACTGGTGCCTCACACTCTCCATCCCTGCTTTGCAAACATTTTATTGGCTATATCAACAAGAATATTCCATAGGCACTTATTTTTCCAAGCTCTCCTGCCTATCATTACATGTTTCCAGACTAAAAATCTCCCCTTTTCTAATTGCCAGTCACGAATGCACAAATGCACTACCCTTGCTGGGTAGGCTGAGTCAGTCAGAGACATAGAGAATTTAAGTCCCAGACTTAAAATATAAACTTTTAAACTTTATTGCTTGCAGCAATGGCTAACTGTAGTGCAAGGGATAACACTAGAATACAGATAAAGTGTTTTCATTGACATCAAATAAAGCTACTTTAGTAATTTTGCTTAACAAATGTATTTTATTCACAGTGGAAGGTTGTATTTGACTCCTTGTTTCTTAAACAGATTATTGCTCCTCCTGAACGTAAATACTCCGTCTGGATTGGAGGTTCTATTCTTGCCTCCCTGTCTACTTTCCAGCAGATGTGGATCAGCAAACAGGAATATGATGAAGCAGGCCCATCCATTGTTCACCGCAAATGCTTTTAAATTGCTTGATACGTCTGTTTAGTGTATTACTGTGAATGTATTCAGGAAAATACATTCTTATAACTTCATTCCATAAATCCTTCATCATAATGACTCTGATTAATTGGATACTATGTATTTTTTGAATAAATTTTAAATATGCTACAAAATTGCTGCTCCTATTTTACAAAAGAGACATGCAGGTGGAGACTCCATTACAAATGGTGTAAAGCTCCATCTTGTGGCATGAATTTGTTACTACACTATGCTGGGCTTCATAGAAAAAGTGGTATGTTTTGTTCAATGATATGAATGTTAGAAAACGCTCAGCTATCGCTAAACATTCTTGTCTGAAAACAGACCCAATCTTGATTTTTCCAAAGTTCTGGGCAGCATCAAAGGTGCAGAGCAGCTGACTGATATCAAGATGAGCACATGCACCCTGCTTTGCACCTGGTCTATCCAGAAATAATTATGTATCCACATCACTTCTTAATTCACAGCTGTCACGCTGGAAAAGCCAATTCTTTTAGTGTAAGTGTCGCCCAGAGGTGTATGATGCATATTACAGCAGTTCAGTGCTTCCTCTTTAAAGAAACGAAACCTGCTCCTTCAGGGGTATGACCATGCTCTGCCATTAGACTGAACACATGACTTGGTTATTATATGCCCTCAGGGTGAGTGCAGACCTATTATTTTTAATGTTGTGATTTCTGGCAAGGCCTAAAGCATAATTAAGCTGGCTTAATATATTTTCTCTTTTGAACTATTTTTTTGGGGTAATGTAATCAAAGCAGACAGATAGATAAAATGATTTTAGACTATTTTCTTTTTCTGTGATTTTCTGATTCCGTTAATTACCTTAACACATTGAAACTGATGCTAAACTAGAAATACATGTGTAGAAGCTGAAGCCACTATTACTGTCTTAAAAGTATATATAAATAAAGAATTCACTGAGAGGGAGCTGAAGAAGTCCAGTTCTAAGGAAATTGCTGCAATCTACATTCATTAGAATTCAGGATCCAGGCTGCTATTTATTTTTTGGTACCCACTTTCCTTTCCTCAGACCCAACAGTTTACCTCACTTGCCTGTTCCTCCTTATCTTTCAGACTGTAAGGTCTCTGCAACAGCACCTCTTACTTACCATGTCTGCATAACTCCTAGGTTCCAGATCTTGTCCAACTTCTGAGGGTTAGTATATGTTCCAAACGTCTTCACACTAACCTTATTTAATGTACATGTCATTTAGGTTATCAGAGCAGATTCTGAATAAACTCTTATAAGAGCAAATTACTTTGTATGCTTCTTCCTTCTAACTCTAGAGCGATCTTTTAAATCTAACTCTTTATAGATCTCGGGAGTTCCTTTCAGGAGCAGAACTTGAAATCAAGTAGGAGATTCTGCGAGAGGGTTGCTGGCAGAAGGCATATTCCTCCAAGGGAGTCTGATGCATCTCTGCTATGCCAGGATGTGATGGGGGTCAGCTCTCAGGTAAAGGACTTGTGTTTTCCTAAGTAAGATTTCTGTTTAATGACATAGCAGAAACCAGAACTATACAAAGATGGAATGGGGGAGCACGGGGAGCACGACAAATCACCGAAGCTAACTTATTTGCCTCTACTACATATAATGGAAATCCACTGAAGCAGTTAAAGAGATGTACATAGCTGGAAGTCAGGAAAAGCCAAACACTTAAAATCCTGTAATTCTCAGGAGACAATTAATGCCACCAGTGACAAAGCAGCATTACTTCAACAGCGTTACAGTTGTTTGAAGTTCATTTTATTCTTGTGTTGTATTATTGAAATACATTTACAGATTCAGGATTAATGCCACTGAACTCCATCTTGACAGAGCAACAAAGTAACTCCAAAATGGTCAAGAACAATAAATATTAAACCATTCAATCTAAAATGTATAAATATAAAAGTCATTTCTGAAAACATAGGAAAACTGGAAGCCATTTTTCTATTTTGGCCATTCGCTTAGTAGCATCACTGTTGTCCAGCCGTATCACCTCAGATCCAGCACAATTATCTTTATGTCTTTCCCGACCACATGGGTACATGGCTGTAGAAGAAGTCAACCCATTATTCACAGAAATCGGTTTGAGTAAAACAGCATCTGTGGGCTACTGTTTCCGTACGATTTTCTGAGCCTACTTAATTTTATGGCTATATATACAACTTTGATTGTACCTATTACTGTGCCTGTTAATAGACAAACTTACCTTCACAGGTGTAGACTGCTGAACAAGGTAAGAACTACAACATACAATCAGACAGATTGCTAAAAAGGCTATTGCTTAGTGCTTGGCCTGTAAAACAATTATAGTTCTTTGTTGTCCTTTATGAATCACAGCATGGTATATTTGAAACGGAGGGGGAAAGGGTTGTGTGCTGCGATAGAGCAGGTGCATGGAGGACAGCAGCAAGCCAAGCTTGAAGTCACTTCCTGCAGTATCAGATGTTTCTGCACAAATGATGAATTTTTAAGCTATTACTTAGTTGTGACTGTGTCTAAAGACATTATCTAGTCCTAAATGCTTGTGCTGGGTCTGTGCAAAAGAACTTTTAGTGTAAATCAAATGGGTGCAAATTAGGGTTGTTCTGCTGGTCAGTTTTCAGGAAGTTTCTTGTATTATCACACCTGATATTTTTCCTCCAGGAAATAAGGCTATGATCTTACTGTTCTTCTTGAAAGATCAATGTGTTTTGGAGACTGTACTTGAAAGTAAATTTGTGTTTGGTATGCCATACCAGCAGTATGCCTAATATTTTTAAATGAGTTCAAGTGGCCAGTGACTTCACTTACGAATGCAAGTCAGTAAAGCGCCACTGCAAAGGGTTAACCTGGAACAAAAGTGTTACAATTTTTCAGACCTGGACTACCTTCTCTGTATCCATAGAGTCAGCGATAAAAGAACAAAACAAACAAAAAGAATCCCAAACGCCTCTCCTTTTTAAGGATTAATACTGACATTTTGAGAGTTGTACCACAAAGAAGTAGTTTCTAATGTCTTCTTTCAATATTATTGCTCTGCATTTGATTTTTTGATTTTGAGCTGTAGGTATGAGCTGGTCTGTATTTGAATTGAGCCCCATTTAAAAAAATCTTAATTATTCAAAGGTAAAAAGATCATTGTCTTTTAGGAAACAATGACATTTCAAATAATTATGAATGACTATTTACTGTTCAGCCATACAAATAGCATACTAGACTCTTAAAACACCAATGAATTTTGTAGTTCCCGAGAAAAGCTTCTGAGAAGCTGGGGGAAATTACAGATAATGAAGGAAATGGGGTTTAATCTATTCATAGCTGCACTTTGCAGCATCTGGGCTGTTGTGTTGGGACACCACAGCTGGGGAGATGAACTAAATTATTTGTTTAAAAACTGAAGAGCTCAAGAACAACTCCTGTCTGAATCTGTGGCTTTTGCTTCTGTTGAAAACAAGCAGAAGTGGTGACTGATAGAAACTGCCATTCGGATGGTGCCTAACCAGAGGTAGTTACTAATAAAAGTAATTTCATGGCAGCTATTGACTTTTAAGTAGACTTCTGATAGGTCTACCTTGGTCAGTGAAGAAAAGGTAATGAATTATATTATTCTAAGATGGGGGAAAAGTATAAAGAAACCTGGCCTGAAGCAGAGCCATGGGCAAGAACTTGAATAGTACAAAATATGTTGAGTTATATACTTACATTGAATAACCTAGGCTCCTTTGTATGTGGATGAAATCCCTTCTTTTTACAAGCAGAAACTTCAAGCATGCCAGCATTAGTAAGTCTGAAGATACCAGTGCTGGAAATTAAAAGATGAAACGACTGTTAAATACTGCCCTTGTAATAGAAGTCCAGTGTTTCACACAAATTGCTTGGCTCAACAGAAGGACAACAAGATGATACTCCATAACCTTTGATTCACAGGAGATAAGGCTGGGTCAGATTCTTATGATATTTGAAATCTCTCAAGAGGAGTTCTATTCCTGCAAAGAGGATATAGTAGTACTAGTGCTATTCCTGTTAGGCAGGGCAGCCCCACAAAGGAAAGAGGCCAGTCCATACAGGAACAGATTCAGAGCAGGAACTTAGCTGTTCTGGATTGCATTTCACTCACTGAACTCTATACAGGGGCAGCTTAAGGAGAACAGCCTTTAAGCTTAGCTGTATAAATGACTACTGTGAAAACACTTCCCCACAACCTAGATAGATAATCAAATAATTCAAAGCAGAAGAAAATATACTGCTGCATACACAGGATTAACACTTGGGAGTATTTAATAGGAAGTTAAAAAACTACCCTTCTTTTGTAAAGAACATTGACTCGCTGTGATTAGCGTGAGCTAGGAAACAGAACATCAGAAATGATTCTGAAGGGCTGGGCTGTAGACTTTTAGTTGATACTCAGATAAAGAGTCTCCATGAAATCAACATCATTGCTCAGGTGAAGTGGGGAAGGAAACTGAGAAGACTGAGCATGAGGCTTTTGTTACCATCTTTTTTATTTACATATGCTTGGGATCTTGCTGAGGCCAGCTATAACAGAGAAGTAAGCAAGGAGATCTTCAGCCATCTGTGAAGGCTGGTTTGGCACACTACTGCTGTGCATGCATACTGCAGGTGGAGGAACAGAATTCCACCTCCATCCTGCCAACAAGTGTGCTGTGCCTCTGTTGTGCAACAAATAGGCTCCACAGTTAGTAATCTGTAGCAAAGTCACAGCTGGCAGCATAATCTGACCAGACTCTGTAGTCCTATTAGAAACATTTCTGCTGCATTTCTGCAGAATTCTGTTCATCAGAACATTTCTACATGAACAAAAACAGCCTGACAGTTTTTTTTTTTTGTATTTCCAAGAAATGGAGATGCCATGTTGCTTTTGTCTGGTAAATGCAATTTCTAAGCGAGTCTGCTTTTGATTGCACATCTCTTTCATTTATTTTGGTCACATTAAATTATGCTTATTTTTGAAAAAAAATAAGTTAATACCTAATAACTATGGGGCAAAACATGATTTATAAATGTTACAGACAGGAGTAATAGGTTACAGGATATCAGCAGAAGCTACTGAGACGTTTACAAGACTTTTACAAGAGTTTTTAAAATGCAGGTGGACATTGCTACTCATGATTACAAACCCTAGCATTTGTGCACCAGCCACTCAAGCTGTAGTTACAGTGTCACTTCCTGAATGACCAGTACAAGAAGTTAGAATGGGATCCATGGAAGTCATCTTTAGAGGCAGATGGCCAGTAAGAAAGGTTGAAGAAATGCACAGTACTAAATAATGGCCCTAGAGGTTTGAAATGCCAAGCACAGTAAAAGCTATACACCTTCACAGTAACTGTTATGCAGTTCCAGGTTTTTAACCAGCTACTTACTGCTCGTGTTTTATGAAATATAAAAATAGGACCTTAAGTATAAACTTTGTCCCTTCACTCCTCATTTGCAATTTTCATATCATCCTGGACAAACAGGTCTAAACCCTTCCACTTCCTTCATCAGCTGAGCATAAAGATAAGTCTGTGGCAGGCCATTGACAGTAAGGCCTATAGGAAAGCATCCCCTGTCATTACTCCTGGATTGAGCAGAATATATATATATATATATATATATTTATACACATACCGTTTAAAACCTGAGGCTGGAAGGGGAGGAGGACAGAGAAGTCAGAAACAATACTGTCCATATAGACTCACTGGAATGTAAGTCTAAATAACTTAAAGAAAATTCGCAATACACCCATTCCTATCCTTCATCCCAGTTGACATATGCTGTTTTTATTTGATCAAATTTTAAGATAAAGAGCAAGGAAAGATATCTAAATATTACTTAGAAAAAATCAGAACTCACTCATTATGTTTTGGTGAACAAACAATTGCAATGGCCTCTGGTAACATTAGCTGATAAGAACAATGAGTATGAAGATCAACACTGGATAAGAATGCAGTTTGTGTTGGATGTGTCTACAAAAAGAAAGGGAAATCTCTACATCATGAAATATTTCTAACAAATCACGGTCGACATACATACATTCAAGAAGAAACAGTAATTCGTAACAACTGAAAGTGTCAGTAATGCCCCCAGACTGGGTTCTTAACTTCCTATTACCCCAGATTCTCCACCGTCAGAGTAGCTTTTCAATGTAAGGTTCATGGAGGCACATTCACAATGAGATGTACAAGCAATTTTCTGATCACGGCAAAAAAGAAAGCGGAATGAAGCAGCATAGGACAAAGGGAAATGACTTGATTGGCTCAAATCCCTAAGAGTGAAATCATACTCCATGTAATTAATATAAAGTTTAAACAACACAATAGCCACTCCCCCAAATTAAATTTTGAACATAGAAAAAAAATAAACAGCATTAGAAAGTAACAAAAATACTCTTAAATAGACATAAACAGAAGTTGTACTGGCAAAACCAGGCCCCTTGTGTCAACCAGATGCCTCACAACCTCACTGTTTAAGAACTACTTATCATCTGTGAAGAACATACATACACTAACGCTCAGTTACATCACAGTGATTAGAATTGTGAGCAAATTCATTTGGATCATACAAGTTATTTTTTTAGTTTGCTAGTTCCAGGGTTGGTTTAATATAGCATGCAGAGCAAAAACAGAAAAGCGAGAACCTATGAGGCATACGTACATGGATCCACCCCAAAGTAAGGAGATCATACTGATCCTGAACACCAAATAATTCTTCCACATTCTCCATGTCGCAGTAGTCTGGTCCTGCAGACTGCTTTGGCACGATCACATGGGTAATAGTAAACTGATTATGTGTCTGTAAAATAAACATTGAGATGATGACTTAGAGTAGAACAAATGAACTAATAAATAAATGCTGAATGGGAATCTGAAACAGGTCAGCCACAGCTACAGTCACTTATGACACCTGAATATACACCTTAGTGTTTTGTTGTGAAAACACTGGGCAGTGTTAGTAACAACAGAAGACTGTTGCATTTGAAACATTTGCAGAGACCACTGTTAAAAAAATGTACCTAAAAAAATTTAAAAGCAGGAAAAAAAAAGATGTTTGAGAATACTATAATTATTTTTGTGAAACTTGGAACATTTCTACTCTTTCTATTCTTTCCCTTTATACGCCTCAACTGCACTTGGCTATTAACTTTAAAATTCTTTGTATGCTGGCATCAGCATGACATCTTTCCTTGTTCTGAAAGGACACTAAGTATTATCTAGGTCAAAGGAAAAAAACAGCCTGTAAATCAATGTTACAGCGCGACAGTGGGATTTTTCTTTTCCTTTTTGTGGTTGTTGTTTTTGTCATTATAAATTCGATGATCCCAGTAGATTCTAACAGTCTTTATATTTTATTTTCCTGTAACTAAACCTCACCTATTTGATGAATGCCAGAGAAAGTACTTGAAAATCCTGTAATTGTACAGCATGCTGAAAAATTCACTACATTTTATGACCACAGCATGGTACTTTGATCAAGTATTTCCCCAACAAGGCAAGCAGTAGGCCACAGTTCAATATCTGAAGTGAACGTTATGAAGTTAATTATATTAAAGACTTATAGTTTAGATCTGCTTTTGCTTTGAAATCAGTGCATTACAGGAAAATATAGTACTATTAAAAATGCCATCCCCATAAAAATGTGAAGGTTGAACTGTACCAGTTTTCCACAGAGAATTCCACATGTCTCTATTCCTCTTACTGTATTTGCCTCTGCTAGCAGCAGAAATTTGTGACAGAGATCCCTGGGTAAAATTACACCTCTGAGCGCTTCAGCCAATTGAGCTAACACACGTACACACACAAAAAAAAAAAAGAGAAAAGAAAAAGATTTGTTATTTACACAGTGAATTTCTCTAAGGTGAGGAAATGTACACAGTTACAGGCAATTATTAAAAGGAGATAATTGTACTTATCCCATCACAGATTTCTAATGGGACTAAAAATAATTTTTCAGCGTATAAGTACTTTGTGTTAAATGGGGGTCACCAACCCATGAAAGACACTAGCTAACTTGCCTTTGAGGTGACAGTGAACTGACACCATTTTCCAGGCCAAGGTTTTCCAAAAGAGCTCCCCAAATGAACCCCTGCACATTTGCTTCTGCTCCCTTGAAGTTCATGGCAAGATTTAGGCTTTCACAGGAGGTCTGATTCAGACTCCATAAGAAGAGTGAGGCTCGATCTCCAGATCCATCTATTGGCATAGAACTGGAAATGTGAAGCTGCACAATTAATCATCTCACCTAAAATGAGGAAACTATATGGAGCTGTTGTGTGTTACATGAACCTTCATGCTTATTTCGCTAGGGACATCCTCAGAGTGAATAAGTAGATATGCATATGCAATGTGTGGACTGCTATAAGCAGCAAAGCAGCAGATAAAATAAAAAATAACAGATCTATGCACTTACGGTGAACAGCACTTAAAGCAGCTGCTGGCTTTAGGGCCCAGTTTACTGGAGGTGAAGGTCCAGTACAGCCTGATGTGTCACTCTTCTCTTTTTTCTCAAGCAATGTGTTAGATAAAGAACTGTTCTCAGGTGCAGACATACAAGATAGCATACTTCCATCTATCTGTTCAGACATAACCATATTGTCTTTAATCTTCTGATCTCGAGCGAGTTCTTGCTTCTTAAGTTGATCTTCGAAGAACTGAAACTGTTCTGATTCAAGCTGCTGTTGCCGCATATGTGCGATTCGTTTCTTCTCTGCCTCTATTAGCCTTTGCTGCTCTAGTTTCTTCAGAAATTCAGCTTTACATTTGTTCTGAAACATATGCAAAGTAGTTAGATTCTCAGAACAACACTAAAAAAAGCTACCAAAAAAAGGGCAGGTGGGGGAGATCCATGAGCATATTGGTTTTCTGGATAGATGTCATAACCCATGTTGTTATGTGTTGCTTGCTTGGTTTTGCTACTTGCTGCTGTTTCGGTTGGTTGGTTGGGCGACTTTCTCCTGTCACCTTCCTTCCTTTAAGTCAGTTTAACTGTCCTTGGGTTGCTCCCTGTACTGAAAGAGGCTTAACCTGGCTTTTTGTGCCTAGTCTCCCCAGCCTCACACACATAAGGTGCCTTCTCTGCTCTGGTCTGTGCTGTCTGCCCCCAAACAAACTGCTGTTCCACAAACTGCAGGGAAGCCTCAGGTTTCAACAGTCCTTGCTCCCTGTTAAAAGGATGGCATCAAACATCTTCAGAAGCAAATAAAACAAACAAACCAGAACTGAGTAGTTTCTTATGTATCATGAACAATTTATAGCAGAAAAGGAAGCCTCAAACCAATCAGTGACAGAATACAGATTTTTTATTGCATACTTCCCTAGGTCAAGGGGAAGACAGGAAAAAGTTTTCC